AATCCAATGGCCTTGGCATGAATAGGCTTCGCGTGGTTAGAACGACTGGAGGTGCAGCAGCCTCAGATTTGTTTTTCTCTTTGAATAGATCGATCTCCCCAGAAAGTTTCGTTAAGCCGCCGCTGCTGCAATGCATCAAAGGAACTTTAGTCTTTCTGCGTGTGGAAAAACTCCGCTGGAGCTTTGCGCGTGACGAGATGACACGAGCCGTCTCGTGCGCTGCCGCCTGCCTCTTGTGAACTAAAGGTATAGCGGCGTCACGCATGTGTGGAACGCTTAGTGAGATCTGTCTATTGGGGCGATTGATGGCAACATTAGATTACTGTTGCCATCTGTAGTTGCAGACACCTGGGCCCGTTTGCTCGAACAGCTAACCGCGGCTAAAGTTAGCCGCAGTACCTAGGAGAGGGATTTTTTAGTCACGTGACTGGCTCGGTAGGGATACGGGGAGCTACGCATTGCCCCGTCGCGTCGTTCGACAAAATGGCTGCGGCGTACGCAGTTTCCGCGGTCGCGATCGCATTGGTGTTTGTCTTCAGAGCGATGATTTAGGTTCCGTGTTCTAAGTTAAGAGTGTACAAGTATCCTACGTGCGCCTTAAAGAAACTGACATTTCGAGGGGACTGCGACTGAAGTCGACGGCAGCAGCCCGTCGACAAACAGTGGCTCAGAGTCACCGATTTGTAGAAGTACAGTGGCCCGGAGTCGCCGACTGTCGAAGCTTCGCATCGGCTTCATTGAAGCACGGCAAGAATCATGCATCGCAGCGCCGAAATGTGGGATGCGTTCCAAGGAACACGATAGCCGAGTACGACAAGCGTTTTACGGTGAGCACCAAAACATTTCGCGATAGGGTTGTGATGAGGCCAGCCTCATACTCACGTTATGTTGAGCGCTGTGAAACTAACTTCAAGCAGGAGCAGGATCAGAATACGTTTATTGAAAGGAAGCATTACGGAGAGTTGCCTTTTGAGTAGCGATTGCGGTTTATTGAAAGTAGTCACGCCGGGAAAATTTCTGTTCAGGGTGTCCATTTTGTACAAAATCCTCGTATTCTGCTTACAGTGCGACTGCAGCTGCAGCATCAACCGTTCTGCAGATAAACGGCGGACAGAGGCTCAACGGTCCAATGGATTTTAGCAGTGATGAGTAGCAGAACTTTCTCTGGGTTTAGTGAAATGCTACGTTGTCCATAAAAGACCAGTGACCTGCCGATCGTTCAATTCACTCGCCCTCCAAGAAAGCCGGTACATGCAGTTTTTCCGAATCAACTCCGTTGTGCCGTCTGCGAAAGTTGTAGAACCGAGAAATAAACAATACTGAAGTTGTTGGAAATGCACTTGTTTGTTATTTCGCGTTGCTTCTGAAAAAATATTTTACGGTTAGCAGGAATAATGTTGCAATTGTGTAGATAAACAAACCAAGGTAGCAGACGATCATGCTCCTTCTGCAAACGAAAATGAACCGAGCGACTACCTCAAAGGGGACCGCGCCGCTGCGTCAAAAGAATTGGACCCTAGATGAAAAATTGGAATTAGTCCGGGAAGTTGAGGCTCGAAAATACCAAATCCTGGGAAAATTCGGCCCTACCGTGACTACTAAAACCAAAAGACGCGCCTGGGACCAAGTCGCCAATTCCATGACCCGCCGCCACCAAGTTCCGCGTTCAGTGAAACAGCTTCAAGAAGCATGGAGAAAATTACTTAAAAAGTGCCGAACTTTGTACAGATTGTACAAAGAACATGACCAACGGACAGGTAAGCTCCAATATTTGCGCTACAAAAACAGAAAAAAGGGCGATATTTGTAAAATCTTTATTGGAAACTTTGGGTGCACTGTACAAATTTATTAGAGAGTGATATATTAGCCCCTCAAATTTTTGGGGCAAATATCTCAACCGAAGACCCCATTCAATGCGCGACAACTAACATCTCGCTCAATATCATGAGAGGGCAAGCCCAAAGATTAATTAGCTCTTACTCGCACAAGTTTCAACACAGTGGCACTAACACAGAAATAGCCCCAAAGCACCTTGGATCCTGTTCCATGCAGTGGGCCTGCGTAATTTCTCAAAATTAATGTCCAAATTTTGCTTGCCAAAAACATTGTCTTTAGCACTGTAAACAATGTAGACACTATTGTTCAACTAAACACATAAGAAAAATGTATGTAGGCAAGTAGCGTGGGAACAAGGGCAGGGGGGCTTCAGACCCCCTTCCCCTTCCCCTTCCCCCCCCCCCCCCCCCTTGAAATTTCAGACAGCTGCGGTAAACAATGCTGCAAAAGGGGGCGGGGTTAAGCTCAGAGGCTCCGTCGCCCCTCCACGTTTCAAACACTTCCGACGCAACCGATTCAGGCACAGAGTGGGCCAGGCTAGCCGGTAGCTGGCAACAGTGAGTTTGCCGTCAAACAAAAAAAAAAAAGAAATAAATTGTCCAACATCACATATTACCCGAGACCGGATAATAGGAACCTGAGGTAAGAAAACAATCTTATCATTATTGGCAATTACATGTTTACGCGTTTTCTGTTCATTCGCACATTGATACTATGTTGAATAATGAACACCCTGTCTCCCCTCCCCCACCTTTAATTGTGCTTACATCCTAGAAAACAAAATAAGTGTACTTCAATTCATAGGTGCTGGTCCCAACCCCCATCAGCTGACACCACTTGTCGAGACTGTTTTAAATGTGATCGGGGACGATTCCCCGACGATCTGTGGGATTGACGTCATCATCGGTGACACCGAAAAGTAGGTAACACTTTATAGGCCATGCTGTGTATGCTATGCTCCTGTTGATACTTTATACATTACAATACTAAAGTTGTAGGTATGAGCACGTGGCTTCGTCAATCACCTTACTTGTGCTAATTGAATGGCCCACCCTTACGCCTACAAGTTTGATATCGTTGCACACTGTATGTAGACTGTGACAATGGAGGCGATAGTACAGTGGAAGCTCTGCACCCAGTTACAGCTTACTAGCCCTGACAGCACAAGGATGCACAAGCAGCAGAAGAGAATGAGCACGCGCTGAAGGTGCATTCTTTTTCTGTTCTGCTCGTCACATTATGAGTACTTCCACAAGATGATAGTTATGAAACTGATGATAGGGATGTTCTGCTGTCACTGATGATAGGTATGAAACTGAGCAGAGACACAAGGCATATCAAAAGTCACCAATTGTTGGCATGCTCCTAGAAAACATTGATGAGCATAGGGAACAGTTTGGATTGTCATAAAAGAATATATTGGTTTTCCATCTCAAAGTAGACATGTCAGTTGCATAACACTACTGCTGCGTGCCCTTACATAGAGACCAACTTCATGAAGCAAAACGACAATATTAGGAGCACGAGTCAAAACCTGTCCAGTAGAGAACAGAACACAGCACAAGGACACCACCTTCACATATTTAGCCATTTCTGCACTGCTGAAAAAGTGCCAATGAAACCATTTATTAGGGTAAATGCAGTAAAACTCACAGTTTGAAACTATTTGTACCACAAAATTACAAAGAAATATTTACATCATAATCAACAAAGCTATGGTAGTCTTTCTCTCAAGTTGAGATCACCTATTTTCTTCAAAGTCAGGTCACTCAATACCCAAATTTTTCCACTGTCAGTGGAAATGTTTTTGCATGATCTTCGTACATGCCTGCTAACGTAGCAAAAATCCATTCTTTTTTGGTAACGCTTATGAGATTAAGTTGAGAATGCACCAATGACTTATTTGATGCTGATCTGTGCCAACAAAATCTGAAAAAGTATCAATGTCCCAGTTAGCCGGACAGTGCTTGGGTACACAATAATCACATATGACGGCTGGTGTGAGTGTGCCACATCTACTTGTTTTAAATCTTGTACAAATGTCTATGTGGCGACTCTACCAACCGCCAATGAAACAAAGTTGCGGGGTTAGGCACTCCAGTCTGTTGTACCACCAACATATGTGGTAAAATTATGACAAGTGTTACTGTCACATCTGGATTAAGGTTGCCGCACGTTGCACTCAGTTCTCCCACACATATATGTACCCTGATCCAGGGTGACGTCAAAAATGTCATGCACTGCAGCCCTCATGCATCACTTGGAGAGATAGAGGACGGAGAGAATCATGTCACGGAGGACGTACGTGCACGAGTATGGTGTCTAGTCACAATCCTTTGCTTCAATGCTCTGAGCAGCTCTCTGGAGCTGTAGCCCTTGCAGTTTGCTAAGTTATGCTGAAATTTACAAGTTCACTCCTGCCCAACAATAGCCCTCTGTGAGCTGCCATTTTTCTCACTGCGCATGATCGGAACACGTCCCGAGCATTAACTTTATGCAGGACAATATTGTACCTCGGGCTGCCATCCACAGCCAGTCAGTGACCTGGGTTTTTAAGTTTGCTGATAATCGTTGTAAAGGCTTATGCGTTAAAGGGATACCTCAACGAAATTAAAAATATACCCGTCGTGTTCAAAAATAGGTTGAATATGATCCACTGTATCCCTAAATGACAATCGCACGTTTGTATTTTGAACCTGGTGGCTATAGTTTTCGTTACAAACGGCCCACCCTGACAAGCGCTCGGAGAACAGCCAGCGGAGAGCATGTGACACCCAACGCAATCGTGACGTAGTTCGTCTCGGGACGAGCAAAGCTGCGACGAGGCTGACGTCGAGAGGATGGCCTAGTCGTTCCAGCCACCAAAGCGGCTGCTTTTGTACGAATTTTGAGTGAAGGGTTAATCTTTTATAATCTTGTAGGGGGACAATAGCAACTTCTGGGACATACAAAAAGGATTCTTTGGAAGAGGAGAGTTCCTCCTTCCCCTCTTCTATTGTGGTAGCCGGAGGTGAGACAGTTACCGTCACTAGCTGTCAAGGTTCTTAGACTGGCATTACAAACGAGGCGTTAGCGACATCCACCTGGTGCTCTCTGCCAATCGCTTAATTCGTTTTAAAATTCCTTTTCGTGACTTTTTTAACAAGATATTGTTGTGTTCGATGTGATACTGCTCCTTCGAACACATATAGACCAAAAAATGAAACCCGAAATTTTGTTGTAGTATCCCTTTAACCTCAAACAATTTCCTGGTCATGCGTGTCACTACAGCAGCTGCACGGGAAGGGTGACGACGCCGCCACCCTCGTCATCTGGCAGCAGTACAGTTGAAGACGACGCAGCACAGAGAACACTGGCCTCTCCTGTTGTGCAGCACAACCAGCGCTGGACCCGTGAGGCTGCACAGCAGTACCAGAGAAGGGCCGAGCGACAGCAGGATCTGGAGCATGAGAATATACTCCTTGAGAGAAAGTACACAAATGGGGCCATACAGGCTGCAAACGCAACCCTCGCTGCAGCAGATGCTGCACGGAGTTTCTATGCTATAGGGGAGGAAGTGCTCAGGGAGCAAAGAGAACTCATTAGACTTGAAACCACCCGAGCACAGCTGCAAATTGAACTGATAAAAAGACAATTAGGACAAGATTAACTCATGTAATGAGCTACTTGCATTGTTTGTCGCTGTGTTGTATACATATTTTGCGTTTTTTCTGACCTACATACTTGGTTGCACGATTATAACGCTCACATTTTTTTTGCCAAAATGGGTGCCTAAAATTAGATGCACTTACAATTGAAACCAAAACTCAAAAGAAAAACGCAAGGCAGCTAGCCCAATCGCCTTTGTGACCGTTTGTTTACATTAGATATTTTGGTATCCGTATCGCGCGTTCTTTCGCCTTTATGTCATCACACTGACGGGAAACGATAACCACGAAGCGACACTGCGTAGCCTCGCAATCCCAGCGACCCAATGAGCTCGCGAAGTGTTGTATGAAAAAAAAAAGTGAAGGCCGTTTACAACTCTGTAACGCCGAATTAGAGCGCAGCTCTTGAGGAGGAGTAGGGAAGGGTACTGAGAGGGAGGGGGGTCACGTGACCTCGGCGGGGGGGGGGGGGGGGTCACGTGACCCCCAGGTCACATGACCCCGCAGAGAAATTTTTCCGCTAGGTTTAGCGGACAAATTTTTCCGCTAGATTTAGCGGGGAATTTTTTCCGCTAGATTTAGCGGGGAAATTTTTCCGCTAGATTTAGCGGGGAAATTTTTTCACTAGATTTAGCGGAGAAATTTTTCCGCTAGATTTAGCAGAGAAATTTACCCATCATGCACCGGCGGTTACGACGACGGCGACGGCGACGCCGCTCAAGCCGGAAACGAGCGCCTAAGAGCTGCACTTATGGGTGTTCAAAGTGCATTACTTTACCTGCGCGGTAGAATCGGCAGCAATTAAATTTTTCGATATCTGGGAGCTAAAATTGCCTGCATGTAAGTATCGGGGCCACGTTAGAATCGTGCAAACATGGTATGTTTGACACTTCATTTATTTTATGCATGCTATCTACAAGGGAAGCTTGCACACAATCTTTTCCATGTCGTTGACTATCCCTACACTAGACCAGCGTGGTTGTTCTGATCGCAATATTTTACGCTGTGGTTAAGTAAGCAACAGAATATCATACTGGCAGTATGGCACCCAGGCTTTCGACGCCCCAAAGGTGGCACATAATTTACATGGATACCTAAAATAAAAATATGGGTTAAGCTCAAAGGCAGATGTATAATTCCTTCTTTCCTATATCCCTTCACATGTTTCCCTTTCATAACGCGGCTCCCCGTCACAGCTCAAGAGAGGAGGTCGCCAAGACGATTAGCCTCCCGGCAGAAGACCAAGGTCGAGTTTCTGTGTTTTAAGAAAATGTTCGAGTCATCGATGAGTGGACCACAGACACTTTCTGACTTGCATCTGCAAATATTCCTTCTGCTTTTAAGATAAAGGCTTTTTCTGCCTGGATATGCTCCTGCGACCTATGGACTGTGTGCTGCTTATGTACGAAAAAGTTCATACTAAGAATATCCCGAAACTCAGGAACAGAAAAAGGGATCAAACACAACACTACATCATTTTGTTGCGTGTGTCACCTTTTGGGGCCCCGGGCCTTCAACTCTTATTACTTTGAATCGTCACCACTTACCTTGTTCTTTAAGTATTTATTTATTTATTTATTTATTTATTTATTTTATTTAAAGAGTACCTTCATCGCCTCGAGGGCATTATTGTAGGAGGGGTGGGAAATAACACACATACATAAAAACACAAAGTGATCACTTGTCCGCACGGAATAGATATACAACCGAGAAAAAAATACACTGTTATCCAACACAACAGTTTTTTGGAGCTGAAATCCACTTGCTGCTTGTACGTAGGCTCGCGATAATTCGAACTCGGATATTTCGTACTTCTAGTTATTTCAAACAGGTTTAAAAATTTTGGTTGTCCCGCTAAGCTTTTTTATGTATTTATAAGCCACTTAATTCGAATGGCGTTTTCGCTTAATTCATAGTTTTTTGCTCTCGCGGCCCTGTTGAGTGCGCTTCTTTCCGAGCACCGCTGCACCGCAGAGAAGCAATACCTGCGGAGCTTGCTTTTGCGAGTGTTGCTTCTCCGCAGTGCACCAGTGCTCGGAAAGAAGCGCAGTCAACGGGGCCGCGAGAACAAAAAACTATGAATTAGCGAAAACGGCACACATGAACGGAAAACGGCGTTCAAATTATGTGCTTCAAGACTAGCAATGATGACCAAGACGACAACGAGGACGAGGCACAGCTCACTGGCATCATGATTTCTGGCCTTGAAACACGTAATGTGAACGCCGTGCAGGCGAACTATATTAGTCTTGACGACGATGTGTGTGTTTGTCATGATGACTCATTAGAGGACATAGTACGGAAAGTAATGCCAGCACAGTGCAGCAGTGACAGTGAAGATGACGATGAAGAAATGGATGACCCACTACGAACTGTCACAGCCGCAGAGGCCTTTGAGCACATCGCTCAGCTCCGGAAGTTTCTGTCTGCAAAGGAAAAGTCCCGTAAAGAGCTGCTTGCGTTGGCTGGCATTGGAAATTTTGTTTTGAGATCTCATGTGCTGACTAAACAGTCCACAATTGACGACTTTTTTGCCGGATGAATAAACTTAGTCACAGTTCTTTCACAAATGTGTTATGCCTGTACTTGCTTATAGTTATGCATTAACTATAAGCAAGCTATTGTGCTATGTAGAGGAAACTGGCCAAAATCTGCTTTGTATATATCGCTATCCATGTAACAAATCATAATGTTTTCTAGTATCATATATATCCAACTAAAATATGTGACTTTCTGGAGTTTGAATTAATGAGAGTGTAGTATGTACAATAAAGCTCCTCTCTGGACAATGCCCTACTAAAAATAAATGTTTTGCAAATGATGTTATCATGCCAGCCAGGATGAAGAAAATATGAACTAACCCTAGGAGGTTTGTGAAAAATAAGAGAAAAGCTTTGCGGGTTGGAAAAACCTGTGAAAGGTGTTATGACTCAACACTCAGAAGCGTACACTATGTAAATCCTATGAGCTAGTAACCATGAGTATGCAGTGAAAAATGAACATTCTATGGGGTAGTATATATAATTTGTACTGATAGCTTTGAAATTGGTATCAAATGAACATTGTTTCACTATACTCTCCTATTCATGCTCCTGTACCCATTAAATAGTATCGGTTTGTAGATATTGAATGGGAAAATAACTGTCTTCTTCAGTTGCCTCATTATAAACTGTGCACACATAGTCTGTTATAGGGCTGACTTCAGCACTTCCCATAAAGCATCCGTCGGTGTGGGAAATGTATTACAAAAAATAATGACAGTATAAAAAGAGAGCTCCAGAGAGTGCGAAGAAGTGCACAAATTTGAAGAAGCATCCCTCGTGTCATTAGTTAGAAGTTTGAAAAGTGCATTGTTATGAACTCCGGAAATCAAATTCAAAATCTATTAGTTTAAGAGAGCCCGTGTGTGCCTATGCTTGTAGCTCTGCGAGAGTGCAGGAGTTGATGGGGAGGAGACCAAAGCAGTAACAAGCAGTTGAGCTGCAGCGTGCGATTGCAGGAGTGTTGGACATTGCACTGCACTCCCGTTTGACCAATAGCTTCGGCAGGGATTTTTTTCGAGCACACTCTTTCCAACGAGCTAATTATAAGTGCCTCAAATGACACATTTCGAGCTTTGTAACAATAATGCGGGAAGTAAGAAAATTTTTTTTCATTACTTATTTCGTCGCTCATGCTGCAATTTACACATACTGCTATGGAAGCAACAGGTATAAGGGGATGTCCATCAATCATTCTTTACATTTCTATCATCCAAATTTCGAAACTCTATGTGGGATATCTGCAAGCACTACCCGAATTGATCTGTGCAAGAGTGATATATGCATTGCTGGAATGTCATTGTCATGTTGATAACACACTTTCAGCATTGTCACATGTGTCACACTCCTTTATGGGTTATTTTGGGTAGAACTTATGATAATCTTACATCCAGTTAGATCATACAAAAAAAGCTTAAAATAAAATTAATCAATATCTCAAAGCTGTTGGCTTCTTGCTAACTGTGCAGCACGGTTGAGCCCCTAACTGTTGCAGTTTCCAAAAATACAATTGATGTTTAAGTAGCAAAACAATAAATATTATTTCAAGCAATTATTTGATCTAGTTAGACAACTGTCTGACATAATTTTCTTATAATTATCTGCAAAGCCTGATAAACAAAAGGTGAAAGCAATAGCCACGATCATAACAAAGCATCTTGCATTAGAAATGGACAGCCAGAAGATACCTATCCAGACACTTACACTTAGCCGAAGAAATGGTTGACAATAAAGTCTCGGGCCTCGTTGCTCTCAGCACGGTTGGCTGCTACGGGCTCAACGGGAACCTCAGCGGGGATGGCGGCCACGGGTGTCCTGCAGGGGTACCTCTTGGCCAGGTTGTGGAGGGCACAGCACGCGACAATGATGTCGCAGCACCGTTCTGGAGCCATTCGGAGCTCAGCGTGAAGGCAATGGAACCTCCGCTTGAGTTGGCCGATTGTCCTGTACAGAGCGCATGGATCAAAACCACATGTTATTCCTTCCCAGAAACCCAATAGCAAAATCGGACAACAGCGTGGAACGCAAATACTTAAGAGGATGACACGCAACAAGGACAAATTTACAGCTGAATTCGAATCGCAAATTGGCTGCCGTGCCCGATATCACACCTCCTAATTTTTCCAGCCCAAGCTCCAGCCCATTGCTCCAGGATATCGAAAGCTGGGCATTATGCATACCATTTTATTTTCCTTCCGAATTATTTTTACACTGCGTTCACATCCGGGGTCACCTGAGGTTAGCCTGTGCAATGTATTTTATAGAAAGCAACAAGCAAAGTGCAGCTTTATTCAAGCGCTATCCTCAAAGGGTTTCGTGGATATGCTTCCAACCAAACACCTGCATATGCACAGGCCAATATGTTAGAATTTTTTGCTACCTGATTGCTGCCAACGCTGTAAGAATTAACTTGTAACCAAGCTTTATACTGCAACAAATACAGTACCATCAAAATTTCATTCTACATGTTACTTGTGAGACAGAGTGAAAAGAGAAAGAGAGCCAGACTCTTGTCTTGTTGAGCCTTTTCCCTTCCACTCTCCAGGAATAGATGTTCGTGGTAGCGCAACCCATCTACTTTTGTCATTGATCAATAAGAATCCGTCTTGTAAGTCTGGGAGATGTAAAACGTAAAGCACTTGATATAACGCCTTATCCAAGTACTCCTACCCTTTGATTGTGCCGCTAGTGTTCCTATTAGTTAGTGGTCCACGCACCGCCATTTCTGACTCAAGTGGAAGCTCCTGGACGCATGCAGCCAAAGTTTTGGTAGAGGGTCTTATGGCGCTTTCACAACGGAATCCCAAGCAAGATTTGCCTGAACATTTGAGATTGCAGCGACTCATCATCAGTCGTGAATGACGTGTAAGATGGTGTCTAGAGACTATTTGTGGAAACTTGTTATTGCATGCTCAACTTCAACATTGTCCAAAATGATGCCTTGGCACTACTCTTAAATCCATCGATGAGAGCAGAATAGGTCATGCTAGGCATGTACTCTTGGCCAATCGGTCAAGACGGTCAGCAACACACAATTGTTTGCGACTTACACCGATGTGCCGCTATTTTTGGATCACACGCATCTTAGCACGCACGAGCTTAGCTGTACTTGTGCACTCAATATGAGTACATACATATCTAGCACGTTTAGTTAGTTTTCATTAAACAGCCCGAAACTGACATTTCAAAAAGTAGACATATGAAAGTGCCAAGGCACAGTGTTACTTCCACTGCTGTGTCTAGGAAAAAAATTCCATTGTCATTAATGCTTCTTTTTGTCCAATTAACAAAATATCAACTTCTGTCCGGGTCTTGCGTAGCACTGGCACCTGAGGTGAGTTTAGTGCTTTTCCCCATTATTGCCAGTCCTGGGGACCTAAGACATAACTGAGTTTTTGCATTTTCAGTCTCAAGCGATAAAACCCAATAAAGTGTGGTGAGGTAAGTTTCGAAAGTTTGATTTTAAACCTAAATGGTCAGTACTTTAGACCATTACAGGTGCATGTGACCGAGTAAACAGAGTATAGAAGCATGTGACCGAGTAGTCAACTATCTTATCTCCGTGCTTTCAAACTATTCTGTTGGAAGCACACTTTAGGAAGTATTTGGGTTTGTCATCGATGCAATTTGCGTTCCTTTGTCCATCAAGTTTGCTGTGGTCGTCTAGAGGGCGGATTTGGAGCGTTTTCATTGTTTGTCAAGCCATTTGGTCTTACTTTTGTTCTGGGAGGAATGGAATGTCATTCTGTTCCTATTGTAGGGAGCATAAGAAAAAAACCAAAGCTGTTTAAACAGCCTCTCTCAAGGTGCTATCTGGTTAGAGGAAAGCAGCTTTAATAGTCCTCCACATGTGAAGAACAAAGAAGCGTGCCAAGAATTACGTTTGCAAATTTTGCGATTAAGAATTTGTCGTCACTGCACATGTATAACCAAGGTTACGTTTGCCATGTCCGCAAGTGTTGCCGCTTGACGAATAACTCAGATATGAACCTAATCTACTGCATTCTCGACAAACCTGCTTGAAAAAAAACGTAACTGGTCAATAGATATCGACCGGAAAAAGGCAGTAAGCTTTCGACTAAAAATATTCATCGATAAAAACTGAAAATTTCATACTCACAATAACAACCGAAAAAAGTATGCCGATTCCAGAAAAATAAAAACTGAAACCGCAGTACCCTAGGCAGCTATTATAAGTTGTATTGATTCGTAATCTCAGGATACTACTTTCATCTTGCTTACATAAAACCACGGTACCTTATGCTTCGTTAGATTAATATAAAAATTTGTATGAATATTTTTATGCCATAAAGAATAGCAACAGACGTAAGGAGCATGCACGTGTTGCACATATTACGTCAAGACAGCTAGTCGTCTCGAAATGTCTTGCATGAATATCTCTGTGCCCTTCACAATATATGGCCTAGATTTACCGTTCAACAATGCTTCTTGTCGTCGTGTGTGCCGTATTGTATGCGACCTCGGCTGCTGATGACGGCGACAGGAATGGCGTCATCAGCCAAGGTTGACAGGAGTAGCCGCTGTCACCAAGCAGCAGGCCGTCGTACTCTCCACTGGCCAGCTTGACTGCCAAGGTGCTCTCCGTGAAGATCCGAGAGTCGTGGGTGCTTCCAGGCCACCTTGCAACCACGTTGCGAATCCGAGAAGAGGCGTCAACGACCACCTGTACGTTGATGGAATGGTATCCATGGCGGTTGACGTACGCCTCCTCGTGCACATGGGGTGCCTGGATCCGGACATGGGTACCGTCAACAGCACCCACGACCAAAGGAAAGCCGGCCATGTCGTAGAACTTGTGCTGCAAGGCTGCCCCCTCCGCAGCGTCAGGCCATCTGCGTCGTTGATCCCCTCAGCAATTAAACCACATATAGTAAACTTACAGCTACAATGCTTATGAATACCTTTTTAATGAGGAATGCTAAGGACTTTGGCTGTGCCCTTCAAGTTTGTGGTAGCAGTAAAGTGCCTTAGTAGCACCTGTTCAATAGTGAAGTTTGCATGTTTTCATAGGATCCCTTTTTATTTTTGTTCAGTTACCAAGACCTATAAAGTGACTGTGATTCGGTGCAAGTCCTTACCAAAAGTGCAAACGGGTCGCTTTCTGAGGTTTCTCAGAAAAATGGCGTGCCCGGGCCCTTTCCAATCGGGCAAGTAGGACGCTTACGGCCGTAATCATTTTTTTTTCTATTGAAAAGGGGGGGGGGGGGGGGGGAGGAGGGAGGGCTAGTTACTAGTAGGTAGAATATTACTGCCATAAAAAGGCAACCTACAAAACATCCCTATCACCAGCAATTCAGATATATTTTTAGTGTATTTACTTTACTTCAATACGGCTGGCAAACTACAATTAAAAGGAAAAAAAAAGGACCCTTACCGTATGAAGTCTTGTGCTCGACGAGCCAGCGCTACGGTGACTTGCCTCACAGCCCGTGAAGCACTTGACACATGCACGCGGATGTAGTCGCCTGCAGTGATCAGAAAGTTCCCAGTTGCGTAGAACTGCAAGGCGATGATCACTTGCTGCTCCGCAGAGAGGGCGCGGCTACGACGTGTACGGCGCTCCAAGTCCGGACGCAGTGTGTCGGCGAGAAACATTATGCCCGCTCTTCCAAATCGGAACCGTTGCTGCAGCCCATCCTCGTCGAAATCCTCAAAGGGGTTCAGGCGGTCCCGCAGCACACGCTGTCGCCTCATCATTGCCGCTGCGTACTGCGCGTCCGTGCGGTCTCTTCTGTGTCGGCGATTCCTTGCGTTGGACATTCTGCCCGGTAGCAAAGTCGGAAATCGGTCCGCAAATCTTATCAGTCAGTCCGTGGCCGGTCGGAGGGTTTGTCGGTGGGTCGGTCGGTCGAAGGGCAGAATACAGACAGGAAAACTCAGATGATAACCGAAAACGAGAAACGCGCGTTGCGTGCAACGAGGCGAAACTGGTTGTATAAACAAACGCCGTGCACGCGACACGGCACACACGGCGTTGCCAGACTTGGAAGCGACGGTCGACGCACTTGCTTTTTGCAAAACACGACAACAGAAAACTGCAAAGCACTTTGACTAGGTGTCTTGTCTACGCTTCCACACTTCGAAAGAAAGAATTTCGATGCAAAAAAGAAACTATCCTTTTTCTTTTCAATTGAGCAAACGTTTCTTGCAAGTTACAACTAGATTTAGCCGAAAACGGTTCCCATAAAGCAAACGTTGTATCATAAAAAAATAACGATTTATTTTTTTCAGCACAAGGTGGCGCAGGCTCCAGCCCAATAATAAAGGACGGATTTGTTTTATGTCCAGCCATTAAAGTTTCGTAGTAGGTACAACGTAGGTACAACTAGGTACTTTCGGTACCTACTAGGGACTTTGGCCAACGCTAACCGCGGTTAGCTCTTCGAGCAAACGGGCCCTGGAGCACTAGTTGAGACAACTGTCTCTAATGTTTCGGCAAACCCGGTACCTAGGCGTGCCCACGGCGGCCCTCTTTTTTGGTGCGGCATGACTACTGTAGAGCATAGACGACGTCTACAGCACCAGGAGGGCAACATTTGGCACTGTGGGTGCGCTGGCATAAAGAATGGAGACAAATGTTTTTTTTTGGTAAAGTATTTGGTGAGAATGTCAACTGACATGCTTGCAGCCAGTCTAGCAATGGCCATGGTGATGTGACTCGCATCCCAAATGTCCCAAAACGACTCTGTCGCATTTCCATCATTACGTTTGATGTGCTTGCAAGAATGGGACATTTACAAGAAAAGTGTAACAGTTCATTCAAGATAGATATCAAACATATATTTTTAATGAATCTGAATATGCTTGTAGTTTAATTTAATTATCACTGCAGGGTAAGAAGGTTAATTGACAACAAAATGCGATTGTTTTATTTTTTTCTGATTTAGTAATTTATGGTTCCAGGTGCATCAACAAAAGACATAGGCATAGTTGCATTGTATCACTCGAAAAGTTTGAGTCTATACTGCATGAACGGCAATGATCATACCAAAAATAGCATGTTGCTATTTCAGCGGTGGCTGCTCGTGATCTCGAGAGAATGGAATTGGAGCTATTGAACTTCAATATAAAACGAGATTACAGCCGCTCGTCAGAGCATGGTCAGGCGGTGGAGTGGATCCTCAATCCTCTGGCTTGCTTGTTGGTTTAGACCGTGAAACTTCCAAAATTGTGTTTGCCTTGCAATGTCAAAATGTTAAAAAAAAAAAAAATTTCGTGTGAAGCCGGCTTGAATCATCTCTTTGCTACATTGTTACAAGGTTGTCACCATTTTTCTTTTTTTTTCTTTTCTTTTTTAGTGAGTCTGAACTGCTGTTTGCAACACCGGAGCCCATGGCCAAGCACAGCACCTCATGCGGCAAGCACCAGCAAAAAGACGCGAAAGAGGGTGAGCAGACAAGGCCCATCATGGAATTGATGCCACCAGCCCAACAGCCCACAGGACCACGTATTGTGTGCAATAAACCAGTTGTCCTCGTTAACCTGTCTTGACCGCGACCTGCCGGCAGCAGTGGGATCCAGTGTTTCCCATGGCAAGAACAAAGGCTATATAAAAATGATAGGAGACGAGTGAACATTGCAGTATGCGCTTTTGCTGTTTGTATTGCAGCCACCGACAGCTGGGGCCGCTTGCAAGAAAGTCTTGACTCAAGTCTTGGCTCAAGTCTTGACTCAGGCGCCTGGCGGTCTCGGCTGAGACCGTGACTGAGACCAAGACGGATCCAGCACGGTCTCCGGCGCGGTCTTGACTCAAGTCCGGACTTAAGTCGGGCACCCAGACCGCCAAGAACGGAGTGAGCAGTACCTAGAGAGGGAATCTAGGGAAAACTGAAGAAATACCGGAGAAAACAGAGGGTGCGTTCCAAATCTACTCGAGTGGATCCGAGTTACCCTGGCAGATCATGTCACGTGACAAAAAAAATTGAGTAATGCCGGACGCGGGTAGGTTTTCGATCGCAAAGGTACAAAACCTTTACCCTAGAGTGAGACCGAGTAAATTTTGGAACACGGCCGAAGATTCCGGACGTGCAAGTGACGAGTTGTGACCTCCTGTCCAATAAGAAAGCGCCGGCGACGCGAGGCGGCAAGCGAGAGATCGTCTGCTTCTGCTACGCTGCGATCGGTTTGGGCAAAGAGAAACGACGACAGTCGCAAAACTGCGGCACATGTCTCGTACATACCGTGGTTCCGTGCAAAATAGAAGAAAGAAAAAAAAAAAAAGAGTCAGCGATGCGCGGTTTTGGGTAGAGTTTAGCGGGCACCAACGCTGTCATATTGCTTCGTATCGCGATCGTCTGTCACCACCGTCGTCGACGTCCAGTGCGTACGCCGAATAAAGTTGTCTACATAAATGCCTGCGTGTCCTTAACGCCCAATTTTTTAAGAAAAAAAATGCGCTGGACGTATTTTCTCGGAAGCATTTGCAATAAAAGTTGATAATTATGTTTTGATCATTAAGTTAGCAGACGACCGTCTGAGTTTGCTGCACGCAGACATGGATGTTGCCGGTCCATCACGGATGCCTCCCAAGGTAAAGAAATCAAATTGGTCCGAAGATGATAAGTTTCAATTGGTTTACGAAATCGAGAAACGAAAACGTATAATTAAGAACAAATTTAACAACAATATTACAAAAGCTGCTAAAAGAAAAGCGTGGCAGGAGATCGCATCCGTGATGAATTCGCGGCATCCATCGACGCTGCGCACTGTGCCGCAACTCAAAAAGCAGTGGCAAAACCTCAAATCTCGCAGCCGCGAGGAACTGACCCTCTCGAAGAAAGCACACTCCACGACCGGTGAGTTTACTATACATATGTTTTTACTACACATAAAAATGAAGCACACATTCTGTGTGCTAAAGAAGTTTTTTATCCACTTTCTCATTTTCTTGGCTAAATTATAGAAGAAATTAAGATATCAAGCTATTAATACAATCAAATCAAAACAATGAATGTGCTTGCTGCAATCAGATAAAATTTAATGCTCAAACAAAATATAGAGAGAACCTTGTCTTCCACAGGCGCAGAGCGCAACGAACACACGCTGACACCGCTGGCTGAGGCTGTGCTGGCGGTCATCGGTTCCACAAGCCCCAACCTTCTGGGTATCGAAGGAGGCGTAGACACCGACGAGTGAGCTGTCATGTTACTGCTATTTGTACGAAGTCTAGCCTTTCGAGATTCACACGATTGGGGGTTCTACTAGCAAAGCTAATATTGTATTCATAATCATATCTGAAGTTCGCAAGTACTAAATACTGGGCAACTCAAAGAAATGTTCTGGTGTGTTCTCTCCAGAGCAAGAAAGAACCGTGCACATCCAAGAACTCTAAAACTTCGAGCCATGTTACCTGAAGTTAAAGTCGAGCTAGGCATGTCAATGAAAGACCACTGCGCTCATCAATGATGATCATAAAAATAATATAAGCAATAATAATAATAGTAATTATTGGATTAGGAGAGCCACGGCACTGCAGAAAGGCAGCAGCCCGTGCAAGGTACGCCCGCAATGCCACACATCTTCTGATGGTGATTATGTGATGATGTAAGATCACAACCTAATCTTGTGAGATGCAAGATTAAAATGATGGTGATTATGAGCCGACATGTACATGGGGAGGACGACGCAGTCTTCTGAACATCGCAAGCGCCGTTGGCCGAGTCTTGAAAGTTTGGGAAAGAAAAATGATAGCAGACTTAGGCTGGTACACTGCTGAAATGGTAGAAGGTATATCTTAAAAAGGTATCATGCAATCCGAACAAGACAAAGGGGATTGTGTTTCTACTACACTACCATTACAAAATACATTATACTCTCATGATTTCAAACTCCAGGAAGCCATGAATTTTGTTTGATTTATCAGAAATTTATCTAAATAATGATGCAAGATAAATATATGATTTGCCTTATGAGTGGCTTCACATACACAGAAGATATTTCATGCTTTCCTTTACATAGGCCTACTGATCATAACCAGGTATGCTACACATGATACATTCGTGAAATGTAAGACAAAAGTTTATTTATCCCTCAAAAATGTTCATTGTTGTGGGCTGTTCAAAGAGCACATGACAACTCAAAACAAAATTCAGTTTGTTCATCGGGTCAAGAAGTTGTCTAGTGTGAACTATTAAACGGGGGACACGTGAACAATAAAAGCGGGCACTGCGCCACAGTTTTCATAGCAACTTGTGAGGACGTTGTAACTTGCCCATGCTATGCCACTTAAATTCAATGCCGTTGTCCTGTAATTCATATTTTTTGTTCTTGCAGCCCTTTTGTTTAGTACACATCTTTCCGAGCATCGGTGCACTGCAGAGGGAACACCCATGGATCTGTTGCTTCTCCGCAATGTGCCGGCGCTCGGTGTACGCCATGCTACCAGATCACAGCGTCTGCGCAAGTTGCTGTAGAAATTTCCGCATGAGCCCCGTTGAGTGCGCTTATTACCGAGCACCGGTGCATTGCAAAGAAGCAACAGCTCCATGGGTGTTCCCTCTGCAGTGTACCGGTGCTCGGAAAGAAGCACACTCAACAAAAGGGCTGCAAGAACAAAAAATATGAATTACAGGAAAACGGCATTCGGTTTAAGTGGCATATGGATACACTAAGAACATAGCGAGACAACCAAACTTAGGAAATTTGTTTGAATTAACCAGAAGTATAATATCCGAGTTTGAATTATCGCAAGACTACCGTATACAGGCTAGACTTTTATGAAGTCAAGCTGAACTATGACAAACAGCAAAAAAATATATTGTTTTATGTTTAAAATTCTACTGCTACGTAGACCCAAAGGTCACAAACACAAAGCTTGGACCTCATTTGCTTCAGGTCCGTTGTATTGAGATGGCAAGTCAAATGAATGAAGGCACAAAGCTGAGACAGTCTGTTACATAAACATATTTGTGCGAGATTAGTGCTCTGAAATCTCGCTCATTTCGTAGGTAGCATTCACTGTCACAGCTGAGTTCGCTGCTGCTGAGCATATGCTGACGTCAAGCTCTTGCAACACTTCCAACATGCACATTGCATACCATGAGGAATGTCTTCTCTGAAATAAAACCACCCTGAAAGGGTGAACAGTATTGATAAATAAAAGAAATCAGAAGTAATCCTGAGCAGTCAGTTCAAATATGGTGTACAGTGAATACAATTTATTAAGCACCGACCAGTAGACACTACCACTAAATTTGGAATCACCCTGAGCAGATCTGTTGCTCAACATGGTAGTCTTTGACATAAAACAGAATTGTAGGGACAAGCAACCAGAAATATCTGACCGGCATCAACACTGCACACTGGATCTCCATGAAGCCAGCTGTTTTCACAACTAATAGCCGCAACAGTCAAGATCGGGCTTGACCTGCACACTGTAGGCTGGCTT